TCAACATAACATGTCCATTTAGTTTCATTCCCCATTCGCCATGTCTAAGCCTAACCCATTCTCCTCCCCTCCCTACCCTGCAACACTCCCCCTGTGCCCCTCATAGTTATGCACTCCTGTTTGTCCTGCATTTCCTTTTGAGTGTTGGTTTGAATGATGGTCTTCTGGTGTCCCATGGTCTATTGCTCTAAGGGATGTATTACAATAGAGTATGTGGGTGTGGCATCCTGGGTTGAGTGGTCTGCGGGTACAGCTTTTTAACTATTGGGCTGAAAGCCCACCCCTGGGGGTGAGTTTTATTTCAGGCACTGAACGCATTTCAGGGCCATAGTATTGGGAGTCTCACCAGATTTCATCTGATCAGTGATTCTTGTCATTATTGAGTTTTTGGATTTTGTTCCACATTTTCCCTCCCACTCTATCCAGGATCTCCAGATTTGATCCTTTCCTGAGTGGCTGGCATTTGTAGTCGGGCACCATCCAGTTCTTCTGGTCTCGAGGGCCATTGTGTCCTAGGGCTGACTGCTTCTAAATGCCCTTGCTTTTTTTGTGTGTGCATTCTTCTTCACTTCTGATGCTAGAAGACCATTAGCTGCATCTTAGATGGCTGCTTGAAAGCTTTTAAGACCCCAGTCACTACTCACCAGTGTAGGATGTGGAGCAATGCTTTTATGTATTTTGTTGTGCCAATTGAGTCTGGTGTCCCCCAGTACTATGGTCCTGAGGTAGTAGATCTATTGGATCTCTCTCCCATAGTGTCAGGATGTCTGTGAGGGATTTCTCTGTGTCTGTCTTCTATTGTTTCTGTAAGGACTGCAGGTATTTTGTATCACTGGTGTTTGTGCAAGATTAGCCTCAGCTGAATCTATCCTTGGTGTAGAGTGTACCTCTGAATAGAGGTATGCTCTGGTCCACATTTTTTGTTTGTTTATTTGTTTTCAGTGAAAGTTTACACAGTAGTTTAGGTTCCCATTTACTATTCTCTACACATTGTTCAGTGACACTAGTTACATTCTTTACAATGTGTGAACATTCTCATGATTTCTATTTTGATAACTTTATTTGTTCTTTGTTTTGTAACTTCAGATTTTTTCCTTTCTTATCCTTCATTTCTAACTCACTTTCTCTTGAAAGCAAACACCTCAATCAGAAAATCTTCTATCCAAATGGTAGAGGATTCTCAGAAAAGCTGGAGCCCTCATGTTGTGAATGCTGAACATAAACAATATTGCACATATCTGGGTAGTTAGCTTAAGAAATTTTATTATCTAAATAAGATAACTATGTCATCAAAGAGATCTTCTTTCTCTCAGTTTATAATTCTCTCAGTTTATAAATTTTATTCTTTCTGCAGTTTTGTAAATTCCTTCAGTTTGAAGACTACTTTTATTTCGGTGTCTGCATGTAATATTTCAATCCTGAATATGGAAACAAGTTTCTATTTTAATTCATATTTGCACATGATCTATACTGCCTGGGCTGTGCCTTTTCTAATCTCAGTAAATGTTATGATAACCCACCCCTTCGTTCAAGCCAATTGTTAAAACTTTCCTTTCCTTCATCATTATATTCGATTCACTGTCATGTCCAGTTCAATAATATATCCAGAAGTTCCTTTAATCTGTTGGTAATGACATTCACTTAATCTTACTGAATTTCTGGAAGAGAGTAGATTAGGCACTTTGCTTATGCTTGGTCAAAATTTCTCCTTTTTCTGGAATCGTTCAACTCATGCTTGTTTTTCCACTTCCACTCATGCTTCTATGCATGCCATTTATTGTATAAACCAAAAACCAAACCCACTGCCAATGAGTCGGCTCTGACTCATAGCGACTCCTCCTTGGGTTTCCGAGACAGTATCACTATGGAAGTAGATTGCCCAACCTTCCTTCCGAGGAGTGGCTGGTGGGTTTGAACCACCAACCTTCTGGTTAATTAAAAAAGAAAAAAAAAGAAAATCACTGTTTGACCAAAACCAAGGAAGAATATCTTCCTTAATTAAACCTAAATGGTATTTCATGATTTGAACATTCTTATATTTGCAATATCATCTGATATCACCCTGTCACAGTTCTGTATCCTTTGAATACACTGGCCTTTATTGGATCAAGCTAGTTCTTCCTTTTAGAGACTTCTCATATGCTGTTTATAATTAGAGATAGAAAGACAAATAGATTGATAGGTAGATATATAAATAGGTAGAGAATTTTTGAAGGTGAGGCCCACATATGTTTAGTTCACCAACCTGCATCAATAAATATTACAACTGAATTAAAGTAACACAAATTGCTTTCAGTAAGTCTTAATAACTGCTTTCACAGAAACCTAATTCCTTATGTTCTTTGAGTAAGCCAATTCCAAATTAGGGTTTTTCCTTTTCTTCCTGTAATTTGGTAAATATAGTGAGATATTTTGATTCCATATATCTTGAAATATCTATGATAGCAGTTATCAAAAATTATAACTCTGCTAATAAAACAAAACAAAACCCCAAACTCATTGTCATCATGTCGGATCTGACTCATAGCGACCCCTCCATGGGGTTCCGAGGTGGTATCACTACGGAAGTAGATAGCCCAGCCTGCTAATAAAGTTACCACTAGTTATGATCCAGCTAATGATTTGCAACATGATAGGATTAACTCTAACTCCAAAATATGAATGGAATTCTTACTATGCAATTATTTTGGGGAAGGGACCATTCTCTGGAGAAGGATATCATGCTTGGTAATGTGACAGGTTAGTGAAAAAGGGGAAGGCCCTCAACAAAATGGATTGACACAGTGGCTACAACAAGGCTAAACCATAGCACCAATTGTAAGGATGGTGCAAGATCAGGCAGTGCTTCATTCTGTTATACATAAATTTGCTATGAGTGGGAACCAACTTGCCAACACTTAAGGACACTAACAACAGAGAAAAAAAAAAAAATGTACTGGAAAACCAAACCAAACCAAACCAAAAAAAACCCTAACTTGGACCTGATTGATAGTCCTTGTCTACTCTTTGACTTCCTTTTGCTTTGTGACTACATACATCCTTAAAATTGTTAGTAAAGATCGATACCAGATAAAATCTACGATTCTCATGAGTTGGGTTTGACATTGTAGTTATCTGAGAGGCCCATGAAGAAGGTAAGGAAATCAAACATTTAGCAATAAAATAGTGGGGCTGATATTTGTGGGGAGGAGTCCGAGAAACAATTACTAAATAATCTAGAGGAAATGTATATAATGTAGGGAGCCAAGAAAAAAATATTTTTTAAAATATACTTTTATTTTGGAGTATTTTTGATTTACAGAAAATTTGCAAAGATAGCACAGAGAATTCCCATATCGCTTCACCCAGTTTCCTATCCTAATGTTATCATCTTACAGTATCATGATACATTTGTTAAAACCAAGATCAACATTACAAAATTCCACATTATTCACATTTCATCAATTTTCCTTTAATGATTTTTTTTGTTTTGTTTTGTTTCAGGATTGAATTTCATTCTGTCTCCTGAGCCTCCTCTGGTCTGTAATAGTTTCTCAGAATTCCTTGTTTTACATGATTTTGAGGAGTACTGGTCAGGAATGTCAATTTTGGGTTTGGTATTCCATCTCACGGTCAGATTGGAATTGTAGTTTTTAGAAAGAATACCACAGATGTTAAATGCCCCTCTAACCATATCACATCAAGGGGTACATAAACCTACATGACTTATCAATGGTAATGTTAACCTTGATTACTTGTTCATGATGGATCTTGCCAGATTTCTCCCCTGTAAAGTTATTATTGTTCTCTGTCCATACTCTATTCTTTAGAAATGAATCACTAAAACCAGCCCACAGTGAAAGAGAGAGGGGACTAAGTTCCATTTCTTGGGTGTGTGTGTGTGTGTGTGTGAGTATTTACACATCGTATTTGTAATTCTTTAAGGAAGATGTGTCTAAGAGAAGAATGGTTTAAAATGAAGGTATCGTCATATTCTTCAGGTGAAGATTCAAAAGTCTTCACTGATTTTGGCAAAATAAACATAGGAACTATATTAGGAAGAAGTAAATTCAATAGTAAGGGTGGGAACAAGATGAACGGGAAGGATAAATGAGTGAAATGGAATTAAAGACATCCTATATGCTTCTCTGAAATTATTTAGCTATACAGCGGAAACAGAAAAGAGGACTGCAACCCAGGATTCATGTGATTGTGCTATTATGGTTTGTCATTTTTATGAATTTTGTTTCAGGAACATGATTCTCAGTTTTAATTCAGAGTTCTAGTGAATTCAGTCATAAGGAAATCAAACTTTCAGAAGCATCAATTTTATTCAGTCACTAAATCTAAAATAGGAGCTCTGGTAGTATAGTGGCTCAGCACTTGACTGCTAATCAGATGGCTAGCAGTTCAAACCCACCAACCACTCCTTGGAAGGAAGATGGGGCAATCTACTTCCGTAGTGATACTGCCTAGGAAACCCAAGGAGGGGTCGTTATGAGTCGGGGCTGACTCGACGGCACACAACAACAACAACAAATCTAAAACACTAAATTTATATCAAAATCCAGAGATTTTACTATAGATTAAGTAATTTTTTGAAAACTGTTTGAAACTTTGGGAGATTTTTGTAAAGTTAAAAAAAAAATCAAGAGAAAAAGCTTCACTATTATTTGAAATCAGTTTTGTAACTAACTTGCTTACAATTTCCCTACTCACTAAAACATTAAAAGCAAGCAAACAAAAACATAACAAAAACCAAGGCTGACTCAAAGTGGTCCTCTAGGACAGAATAGAATTGCCCCAGTGGATTTCCAAGGATGTACATTTTTATGGAAGCACCTGCCACATCTTTTTCCCATGGAGAAGCTTGTGGGTTCAAACTGCTGACTTTTCAGTTAGCAGTTGAATGCTTTAACCACTGTGCTGCCAGGTCTCCTTAATTTTCTAGCTTGTACATTTCAAATCTAATGAGATGAGGTGCTTCTTCTCTACTTAGCCTTGCAGTGTATGTTAGGTATTCAATAAATTTTGCCTTCACAGTTGCAGGAGGCCTGGCAACTACTTTTGACCACTTCATGTTCACAGGTGACCATCTTCTTCAAATCTGGACAGTTGCCATAGCCATCTTCGTAATTGCAACTATTGGCTGGAATAAAAACAAATAATTTAGTGACTTCATTATCATTTCCTCTAGAACAGCAACATAATAAATTCAACATGAGTGTGGAGAAGGGAACTGAGAAACAAGTTGACATTATTATCCTATGATGGCCATTTCATTTCCTGGGCTATACAGTCTTTTAGTTAAATCCACTGATTAATCCATCTCTCTTTTTTGAAACTTGAACTTTTTAAAATGTTTCTAAATGAGTAGATCTTCTTTCCTCTATTGTAACTCAGTAAAATGAATGTAATTGAATCTCTTTAGACTGTGGTACCTCAAATGGCAGCAACTAAACATATGTGTCTATTTGAATTTAAACTTAAATAAAATTAAAATTTAATTTCCTCAGTCACATTAATTACATTCCAAGTGCTCAATAGCCAATATGTACAGGTAGTACTTCTGGGACTGTACAAATATAGGGCATTTCTATCATTGCATAAAGTTGTATTGGACATTTTTGTTCTAAAATCTAATACCACTATGCTTTCTTTCTGGAGTAAGTTACCATCATGGAAAGATACAGGTGCAATAATGTAAAAGGGGGAATGACTGTCTAAGACTTTTTGGACATTTCCATTTGGACACCACTCAGAAGCACAAACACAACAAATCTCAAACTATATTTATCATCTAACCTATAAGCCTGACATTTCTTTAGTATCCCTCCCTGTTGTTCTTGTTATGTGCTGTCAAGTCGGACCCAACTCATAGCGACCTCTCCTTGGGTTTCCGAGGCAGTATCACTACGGAAGTAGGATTGCCCAAACTTCCTTCCGAGGAGTGGCTGGTGGATTTGAACCGCCAGCCTTCTGGTTAGCAGTCAAGTGCCTTAGGCACTATGCTACCAGAGCTCACCTTCCTCCCTAGCCCCAGCCAATTCACTTAATCTCAGTGAAATGGGACTCCCACCCATTTAAATACTCAGTTATTGAAGCCAAGGAGACCTCCTGGTGTAGTCTTTAAGCCAGGAAGTCAAATTAACCTGTATTCCTTTCCCTCTACTTTTTACCAGCACTTAAGCAAGCACAGGTAACAAACAGTGGCTGTAAATCACTTCCTGTGATTTCTCAAACCTGTCCATTTCTCTTCATTTATTTTGCCAGTACTGCAGTAAAGATGCCTTTTTTTTTTGACTCATGATTTTTAAAAGTATATGAGTTGACTTCCATCCAATTATTTCTACATACTACTTTTTTCTCCTTTAGTTGGATTATAGTTTTGATAACCATCAATATTCTGAATTATGCCCATAGCATTCTATTAGAAAGAATGCGAACTTTAAGTGAATGCATTTGAGAGGTAAAATCTCAGTGCATAATTCAACTATACTGTTAATAATAATTTTAATGAACATATCTCAACTAAACAAAGCTATCAACAATTTATACTTTTATTCATAACAACATTTGGAAATGATACATTAGACATTTATTTTACCTCTTTTGGTTAAAATATTTATGAGGCTTCAGCAAACTCTATATACAGATTTGATTCTGACATTTAAAAATCACATAAAAATAATATCAAACAACTGTAAGTGAATATTAAGTTAAATTTACTGATGCTAATTACATTATGTGGGGGGTGAGGACTTTAGTAGGATGAACTCATAATATAAAAGGAATTATAATATTTTGTGTGCCTGTCCAGGTTAAGCTCTATTTTATAGCCTTGTTGTTGTTGTTGTTATGTGCCATCGAGTTGGACTCTGGTAGCATAGCACCTAAGAGCTCTGGTAGCATAGCACCTAAGAGCTCTGGTAGCATAGTGCCTAAGGCACTTGACTACTAACCAGAAGGCTGGCAGTTTAAACCCACCAGCCACTCCTCGGAAGGAAGGTGGAGCAATCTACTTCTGTAGTGATACTGCCTCAGAAACCCATGGAGGGGTCGCTATGAGTTGGGTCCAACTCAATGGCACATAACAACAACAAGATACTTAGATACGTATATGTTTTGTGCTTCTTCTTCTTTTCTTAATATCACCTTTGGTATAATGAGTGCTGCTGGCACTGTGGGTAAGTCATTTGGCTGCTAGCCAGAAGGTCAGTGGTTCAAGCCCACCAGCTACTCCACTGGAGGAAGATGGGAAATGAGGCAATATACTTCCATAAAGATTTACAGCCTTGGAAACCCAATAGGGGATCCTATGAGCTGAAACTGACTCAATGGCAGTGGGTTTGGGTGTTGGTCTGTTTTTCCATCTTGGCATAATGACAAAAAAGATGAAATACATTATATTTAATAATAATTAGCTATTACCAAAGACATTTTCATATAAACCAATATGTAATGGGTTCAACATAGTTACAAATACACATTGATGGAAGACATTTCTTTAGGTTACATATGGTAACATGCTTTTCATGGAAGATAATACATGGAAGATAATAATAGATATGGAATGATGTAAATGTTTTTCTTAGACACACTGTTGAGTAATATTTGTCTTTTGCATGAAAACATTGCTCAAATATGATTGTTTTCATAAAATTTCTTAATTCTTAAAAATAAACATCATATTTTATTAAAATAACAAGTTAATGATTTCAAACTTACTGCATAGTTTGTTGTCACAGTAACCAGGACAACTGGAACAAGGTGGTCCTGGTTTGTAAGGGGAATACTGTCTAGTTACGTGATTGCCACTGAAATTTGAAATACAAAATGTCAAATATTTTTCACTTTTCTCTTTCTTTTTCATGGGTAACATCTGTTACCAAATATATATGCATATTTACTCAATGTTTTTAATTATGTTAAAAAGCTAAAAACAAAAAAACATTGCTTATATATAATTTAGATAACAATTCAAAGTAAGAGAATATTTCACAAGTTCATCTTCTTTACTATTATAATTCCATGGGCTGAGCAATGAAATGAGATAACTAGTGTTTCAAGTTTTCAGAGTACATATTCAGTAGGGCAACACCTTCTTTGTCTCCCATAGACTAGATCAAATTGCTAAGGCAGTGTACCTAAGGAGTTGGCTAGGGATGGAACGCAGCCCTAAGAGACAGGAAAGGCTCCTGGGGGCTGAGAGGTTGCAGTAGAGAAAATAACGTGAAATTGATATAAAAATATTCCGGAAGTTCTCTCACCTCTGTTTTTCCTCATTATCCCCTCCCTAGTTGGTCTGCCTCTCCCAACTAGGCACTGAGTTCGTATGCATTCTGTTAGGATTTTTCAATTCTCTCATTCTAAACTCCATAGGAGCTCACTGAAAAAAAAAATAACTTCAAAGATTATACTTCTCAAAGGGGATAACCATATCCTTTGGGTTAAAAAACAGCCTCAAAACAAACCAAATAGGAGGCTTGGTTTTGGAAGACTTGCCTGCCTCTCATAGTAAGAAATTTAAAATTTTGAAAGAAATTAAAGTAGATGTATTATACATATATCTTCAATATATCCACAGGATTTATTGTAGATAAAATTAAACACATTTTTTCCAGCTATAAATTGAGAAATTAAAGGAAGACACAGAGAGGTGCACAAGAGATACAGACAACAAAGATAAACACCTTTACATACACAATATGTACACAATACTGCATTATCAGTGATAGCAAACATTAATATACAGTTGGATACATAGACAGGAAGGCTAAGTGATAGGATATTTCTGGGCAAAAGGGAATATACCCATGACCATATCTGAGTTTGGCAGATGGTATTTCTACATACCTATTAATATATGCCGTAAGGATGTAAATATATATAATAGAGCTAATGGGCCAAAGTAATGATCACTTCTTAGTCACAGCCAAACACCCTGAGGGAATGAGCTATTGGGCCTGTGGTCCCAGGGGACATCAAGCTTAATTGGCATATGTGGTGGTTATGTTTGTGTCAACTTGGCTGAGCCTGGTTGAGTAGTTGGACAGCTGGTGGTAGTTATTCCCCATGATGAGATTGGCAATCAACTCCATGGTGGAATCTACCACAAGGAGCTGAGTAGCTGCTTTGGGTATGTGGTCTGTTTCTCGTATATAAGAAACAGCTTTGGGAATAGTCTCTAGCCTATGGCATGCTTAGACCTTGCATGTAGCTGTGTCATTGTTCAGCAGTCTGCCATGCTCTGCCAACCTTGGGACTTAAAATGGACTTAAATTAATGGCCTTCTATGTGGTTTGGTAACATCAGGACTGTGCCTTTTTATTTGTCAACCTTGGGTTTGTCAGCCTCAGCAGCTAGCAGCTGTCTGAGTGAAGAAATGCCCTTAACTCCAGTGGGACGGGAGCAGGAGGCAGAGCTGGACCCCAAGGTTGAGGGGCTTTCACCCAGCCCCTAAAGCCTGGCACTTTGAACTTGGGCTTAAAGCCTTTAAACTGTAAGAGAATAAACTCCTGTTTGTTAAGGCCATCCCATTTATGACATATATTCTTGTCAGAGCAGCACTAGGTAACCAGAACAGTATACTACACAAAAACATTGTTCTACATCCTACTTTAGTGAGTAGTGACTAGGGTCTTGAAAGCTTGCAAGTAGCCATCTAAGATGCAACAATTGGTCTCTCCTCATTCACAGCAAAGAAGAATGAAGAAAACCAAAGATACATGGGAACAATTAGTTCAAGGGTCTAGGGAACTGTAATAATCTCAGCTCACATGACCTTGAGACCAGAAGAACTAGATAGTGACCAGTTACCTCTGTAACCACTTAGAAAGGAATCAAAACAGGAGATCCTGAATAGAGTGGGAGAAAAGTGTAGAACAAAACTCAAAATTACTAAAAAAAGAAGAGAGAAAGAGGTTTACTGATCTGATAGAGACTGGTGAAACCCCCAAGACTAGTCACTCTTTGGGCCTGGAATTGAACTCACTCCTGTGGTTTCCAGCCAAAGAGAAGGACTATAAGGTGAACATTTACACCAGATGGATGCACTCCTTAGAATGATCAACTATGGGAGATCAGAAAGGCAGTGTTTGCACAGGAGACAGCTCAGAGAGCAGAGATACAGAAGGAAGAAGGATATAGGGCAAAGGTAACCATAGGGAGTAAGTGAGAAAAGAGCTATTACAATATAGGGATTGCAATCTATGTCATGAAAAAAAATGTGTTTGAACTATTGTATGGAAAATGAATTTACTCTATAGACTTTCACCCAAATTACAATAAAAAATGTAGGGTTCATTATGGACTTTCAAAAACTGTGAGAAGCAAAGACTTAGGATGTTTCCTTTCTCTTGACTATTTGAAATATGTTAAGAATTTTTGACAAGTCTTCAAGGCCTCAGATTTAATAATTTTTAATGGCAATGATGTAGTATTTTTAAGTAACCAGGAGTAGGAACATGTGAGCAAAAAGGGCTATACTACAGTTCATCATTCCCTATTTGGTACCCCACTCTAATACTGACCATACTCATCAAGGTTCCATACTCTAGAGTATGAACTTAGTAAGAGTTGCATAGTACACATGTTCCTGGAGTACTCACAAGGCTAAGAAGATATGATTAAGACAGGAAGAAAAACAGAGTTTCAGACATAAGGCTAGAGAGCTTCAAATTTTACACTTGGAGATGAGAATTTTGTCTTTTTTTTTTTAGAAATTGAAAATGCCTCAACTTTAGAAAACATTTACAATGGTTCCTCCTTTTTACTGAAACATGCTTTATATTAGAGTTTATTATATGAGACATTTTAAATATTAAAGCTGCAGATGACACCATTAGTATTAAATTCCAAAGTGTATACTTACACAGGACAATATTGACAAACATAGAAGTATGCTAATGTGCCTTGACTGGGACAGTAAGAGATTCCACATCCAACGCGGAAAGAGGTGGCCCAAACAGCCTACATACCCATAAAGGAAGATATGAGAATACATTAGAGAAGAAGAAAAACATCAATAAACAAATAGTAGCAAGTATAAAACTGAAATTGACATTAATTATGTAGTTTGCTGACATATACTTTATAAAAATATTTTAACTATTGAATCAGAGTCACAAACTTTTAAAAATATAAATTTCTATGTATATTCATTACTTTTTCCATTTGCATTGTTAAAAAAAAGTATGTATGTCTCACTACAATGAATTAGTAAATTATTGACAAATGACAGTTCTTAGCTAAAGTACCCACCAAACACTGGGACTATTCTTTATCTACTGAGGATCTTCTTTCAAATTGAACATTGGAATCAGTTCAAATTTGGAGAAATTTTCTGTTTTGGGGTATTTGTGGCAGAAAAAATTCATTTGTTTTCCTTACCTGAGTAAAATGCCCAATAGGTGCATCGGGATTCTTTGCCCCCACACCAAAGACAAAATCATGGGCTTCAGCAGTCCAACTTTGGATTGCATTTGACCATGAAGTAGGGACACTGGACATAAACAAATTCTCACCGCACTTTATGTCTAAGAGAAACAGATCATTTATGAGGAAAGTAAAAAAGCATGCAATGGCAAAAGAAATCAATTGTATAAACACAAAGAAGAGCCAGCATTCTTTAAACACACGGACCATAGTTGCTAACTGTTGGTACATAAGGAGGGCTTAATACACTGAGGTTGGCTTCAGCATAGGAAACTTTGAGTAGATGAAGAAGTCTTCTTTGGTTTAAAAATCTCATTCCCTTGAACTGACAGAAGTGTATTCATTCACATGTTAAATTGTTTATGGAGCTCTGGTAGTGTAGTGCCTAAGGCACTTGACTGCTAACCAGAAGACTGGCAGTTCAAACCCACCAGCCACTCCTCTGAAGGAAGATGGGGCAATCTACTTCGGTAGTGATACTGCTTCAGAAATCCAAGGAGGGGTCGCTATGAGTCAGGTCTGACTGGAGGGCACATAACAACAACAAAAACAACAACTGCCTCAGAAACCCAAGGAGGGGTCCCTATGAATTGGATCCGACTCCATGTCAATGAGTTTGGTTTTTTGGTTTGAGGCCTTGTGTGCTCCCAACTTTGCATTATTGAGGGTAGAGACCAACTCTTGTACTTTTTCTCCTGCTCTTGCCCATCTTTGATAAGGTTTTATTCACATGTAGAGACGAATACATAATAATAATTACAATTTTATGTGAAGTTTGATACAAAGATTTGGAGTCATTTTCCTACCAGAAGCCTATTTTCTAGTCTTCAAAATGGGGAAGGTGATGATATATGACTTGCATAATAAAAAACATTTATTCACAAGGCTTTTTTCAATGTAGCAGAATTGGTGGTTCCTTATTATTTGTTCACTTTATTTAACAAATATTTATTAAGTTACATACTGGTTCTTCGGTCCTCTTCCTGACTGTGGTGATAATTGCACTTGTTTGCCCAGTTTTGAGCATTTACCTGTGCTTCACTGTCCCACATCTAAAACAAGGGTGAAAAAGATTCACTTAATAACTCAAACTACCAAGGAGTTTATACCTTTCATTCCAATTGTTAGGCTGGTTTATATTGTTACAAAATCTCTGAGGAAGGTGCTTCTGATTATGATAATAATCAAAATGATTTTTTTTTTCAGTGTGCCTTTATCTGCCCCATAAATAAATATGGGCAAAAGAGTATGTCTACACCTAAAGATTTTTAGTAAAGGTCTTACTCTAAATCCTACTTATAAACAGATAGAAGTGTTATAGTTATTTTTCTCAGTAATAATAAGTTGGTCTATACCATTTCCAGTTCCTTTTTTTCTTCACTGAATACATTGGGGATATGGACTTTGGTAGATGGTCTAGGAAATTGAGTTGCTATTTACCAAAAGCAAAACTGATCCTAAATGGAAAAGGTCTTTTTGATTCTAGATTAAGAGAGAGTGAACAGCAAAACAAAATGGCCTCTTGCTGGATTTGGTTTTAATTGTGCCTCCCAATTCAATAGCCTGGTAAAGGTGACAAGTTATTTCTCTATTTATAGAGTGAAATTAAGAATTACTGCCCTGTCTGTAGCATAGCTCAAATAAAATAATAAAAAGGAGGCAGAACTTCGTAAGTCACAAAGTTCTTGATGTTTGTTTGCTGCCAAATGCCCGCTTTATTATAGTTGGTTCATGCCATTCTCCTCCTCTTACTGCCTCTTACCATCTTCAGCATGTCACTGGCTTGTGGAGAAACATTTCTCCTTAGGTCGTTGTGTTTATTGACAATCTCTGTTTGGACTTGCTGTAAGGTGGTTGACAAAGCAGCAAAACCTGGATCCTAAAGGGAAATAACAAAAAAAATTAATTTTGAGACATATTTGAAAATGTGGGGACAAAGACTATTTCAAAAAACATTGAGTTGAAGCCAATATTGGGCATAGTGCCTAGGCATCTGATTGGTAACCAGAAGGCTGGCAGTTCAAATCCACCAGCCACTCCTCGGAAGGAAGATTAGACAATCTACTTCTGTACTGATATTACCTCAGAAATCCAAGGAAGGGTCCCTATGAGTTGGATCCGACTTGATGGCAGTGAGGTTTTTTTTTTTTTTTTTTTAATGCATATAAGCTGAACTGAAGCTAAGTTTTGAAAAAGAAAGAGAGAGTGTTAAACTTTGAGAATGGGGATGTGACTCATGGCATAGCAGATTAATAACTCCTCTAAGGCAACAAATATTAATTTCTGGCTTCAAATGAGGTCTTAATGTAATTTTTTGGTAGACACATGAATATTAATACAACTACAATAGTACATGAAAAGAACAATTAAGAAATACATTCATACTAGATCAAGTTGCAACAAAAGGATGGTAAGGATGGTGTCTAAATATTTATCCTAGAATTTAAAGTGAATTTCACTTGACATGGTTTCTGGTATTTTGAGAATTAATGCTTAGGCCTAACCCAAGTGTATATCTAGCATTCAATACTCTAGTAAAATGATAACATATTATGTGGCAGATTTTGTAGGGATTTCTCAAAGGATAGTTTTACATATCACATATTTTAAAAACAAAACAAACTATCTCCAAGGCAATTTGGAGGGAGTGAAGACATTCAATCCTGAACTATTACTGACTCTGTCTTTTAACTAACATAATGTAACTGGCAAGGTGTCAAATGAGGCCTGACAATTTTGGTTTATTTTTTTGCATATTGTGGGTGTCTGGAAAGTGGGATGAGATGTGTAAATTGTTGAGTAAAGGGCTAAGCAATTTTCTTATTAGAATCTATTCAAGAATGTGACACTATATATAGATAAGCAAGTTTTTAGAAGTCAATGTTTAGATCTAAACACAGCTTCTTATAGATTTTCCTAGACAGCTTGTTCTAACTTATTCTCTCCCTTTTGAGGTTACTTAAGGCTTGTAGCGTAGTGCCTAAGGCACTTGACTGCTAACCAGAAGGCTGGTGGTTCAAACCTACCAGCCACTCCTTGGAAAGAAGATGGGGCAATCTACTTCCATAGTGATACTGCCTCGGAAACCCAAGGAGGGGTCGCTATGAGTCTGGTCTGACTCGATGGCACATAACAGCAACAACAAAGCTTTCAAATACTTCATGAGTAGGTGTTGTAGATTGAATTGTCTCTCTCAAAACTATGTACTGTAAATTCCAAACTTTACACCTATGGAAATATTCCATTTTGGAATAAGGTTTTCTTTGTTTTTCTAATGAAACTGAATGAAACTGTTATCAGTGTAGACCTTGTTTTTAGCCAATCACTTTGGGATATAGAAGAGCAGAGTCCAAAAACCAAACTCAGTGCCATCAAGCTGATTCTGACCCATTGTGATCCCGTTTGGATTTCCAAGGTAGTATATCTTTATGGAAGTAGATTGACCAGTCTGCCTTCCCTCAAATGGCTGGTGGGTTTGAACCACCAACCTTCTGGTTAGCAGTCACATGCCTTAGGCACTACACCACCATAGCTCCCGAGGAGGAAGACAGATATTATCTGAAGACAAAGGAGTGTCTATGTGGACTAGTCTACAAACCCAGGAACCACAAGGATAGTCGGCTAGAGAAGCTGAGACAGAGACTCCCCACTACAGTGGGCAAGAAGAGCTTTCCCCTAGAGCCAGTGTGCTGAATTTGGACTTCTACCTTGCTAAACTGTGAGGAAATAAGTTTCTGTTCATTAAAGCCACTTGTAGTATTTCTGTTATAGAAGTGCTAAAAAACTAAGAGAATTGTTCTGAAATTGTAATACTACTATGTACTGATATGTTCATTTCACCCTCCTGATTCTATATTTCTAAGCAAAGTGACCAATATTGCATGTGATTTTACCCAAAACATCCAGCACATTTGGAACCGATGACTCAGAAGTCAGAAGAGATGCACATGTTAAATGTCTCTGCATTACATAAAAATGTAAAGTAACATGACCCAGCTATTTTCTGTTGTTGTTGTTGTTATGTGCCGTCGAGTTGGCCCCGACTCATAGCGACCCCTCCTTGGGTTTCCGAGGCAGTATCACTACGGAAGTAGGATTTCCCAACCTTCCTTCCGAGGAGTGGCTGGTGGGTTTGAACCATCAGCCTTCTGGTTAGCAGTCAAATGCTTTAGCCACTATGCTACCAGACAACAGCTATTTTCTATGGACCCTCAAAACCCTGCTTGAAATAGTTCCAGTTTAAAACACATAAAAAGTCAGTTTCTGAAAAATGAGGAATGATTATATTCTGTTTCTTTCTTCATCTTGCTTTGTAGACAAAAAATTCTGTTGAAGAGATACATTTTTTTTTTACAAGTATCAGTAAAGTTTCTAGTCAGGAAATACACACATTTTGAGAATAGAGTGGATAAAATGTAATATCTATCCTTAAAGGGTTTATATCTTCTAGGCAAATTTGACATAAATAAATAATTAAAATACCACCTTAAAGTGCAATGATTGGAGGGATGTACTAAGTATGGAGTAAGGAAGGATCATTTCTTCTTACTCAAAATTAGGAAAGACTTCATAGAAGATAGTTCTTGATTGGGTTTCAGTATCTAAGAAGGTACAGAGAGTCTGTGGAGCATCTCATCAGTAAACATCGAGTGGTGCTAAAGACCATGTAACACCTCACTTTTTAAAAACTTTATAAATGACAACCAACAGTGGAAACAGACCACTAACAGGGAATTGGAAAGGGCTATGAAAGGAACTCTATATTTGGGAATGAAGTTAGAAAGACAGCAAAGTACTAGAATGAAACCTCAGATGATGAATTGATTAATAAATTGTTCTAGATTGCAAATTTTATTATGTTAGCTTAATGAATGTACTTTTGAATGCCAAGTGAGATTTGAATCCAGTATCAGATTTCTTTGGGCTGTGGGGGGTGGATTCCAGTTAACCTGGTAAACCCAGAGCTAAGTGAAGGTGTGGGGACAGACAGCAATCACCAAAACTCTTGATAAGTAGAGGCTATTTAGATGGGAAAATAAAAACTTAGGTAGGCACCTATTGCCGTGTTATTGAAGAGGATAATTGACCTTGTTCCTAGGAGTGTTAAAACAAAATATTGTTGTTGGTGTTAGCTGGCGTTGAGTGGGCTCTGCCTCATAGCGACCCTACATACAACAAAACGAAACACTGTCTGGTCCTGCACCATCCTCATAATCCTTGCAATGCTTGAGCCCATCGTTGCAGCCACTGTGTCAATCCCTCTTCTTGAGGGTCTTCCCCTTTTTCTCTGACCCTCTACTTTACCAAACTGGATATCCTTCTCCAGGGACTGGTCCCTTCTGACAACGTGACCAAAGCAGATGAGATGGAATCTAGCCATTTTCACTTCCAAGGAGCATTCCAGCTGCACTTCCTCCAGGACAGATTTGTTCATTCTTCTAGCAGTCCATGGTATTTTCAGTATTCTTCACCTCTTTAAAATGTTAAAGAGCGAAGATGTCACTTTGAAGACTATGGTGCACTTAGCTCAAGACATGATATTTTCAAGCACCTCATATGCAAGTGAAAGCTGGACAATGAATAAGGAAGACCGAAGAAGAACTGATGGCTTTAAGTAGTGGTGTTGGTGAAGAATACTGAAAATACCATGGACAACCAGAAAAATGAAAGCAAAAAAGCATAATAGAAATAATTAAAACATTTGACACCATAATATTAATTGTAGGACTGTGAAAATAAAGCACTTAATACATTTAGCTGAATACTTTCAGCACTTACTACTTTTATTTAGAGAGCGTATGTAACTATTCTTGCACAGTAAAAATGGAAATTTGATGTTGTATTGGATATGAAGAAGTTCTGCTAATTCTGAGCAATATACAAATGTGTGAAGTAGTTGTTGTCAATTTTCTATGCAATCTCATTTCAATAGATTAAATGGAAAGAATCAGAAATATCTTGCAGTAGGGCTAGTGTCATTTGCTTTTCAAATCTGGGATCACTGCTGTCCAATAGAAATTTGACTCAAGTATCATAGGTAATATAACTTTTTGGTGGCCACTTAAAATAAACAGATGAAGTTAATATTAATAATCTATTCTATTTAACTTTAAAAAAAAAAAAAAAAAAAAAAACATTGCCACCAAGTTGATTCTGAATCATAGTGACCTTCATTGGGTTTCCCAGGTGGTAAATCTTTATGGAAGCAAAGTATCTCATCTTTTCTTCCATGGAAATCCAAAATACTATCATTCTATTTTATACTCAGTATTAAGATTATGAATGAGATATTTTGCCTCTTTATTTTGTACTGTCTTTGAAATCTGGTATGTATTTACATGTATGTACATCTCAATTTGGACTAACCACATTTCAAGCGCTCATTAGGTCAAGTGGTTAGTGGGTAGCATACTGGTCAGCACAGCTTTTCACTGTCATTCAGATAATCTTTTAAGAGCCCCAAGCTACCAACAAGCACATTATGATAAAACCAACACTCTAGGTCCTTTCACTCTTGCAGATTGATCAAGTAGCTTGCCATCTCTCAAAATGGTCTGGATTGTCGTGACATGATACACAACCTTGACCATACCTGTCCATTTGCAGGGAAGGATGGAAGCAACACAGCAGTCAGAAACAGCACCACTGAGAGTAATGTCATTGCTGGGAAACAAAACAAAGGGAAAAAGTTCTGCATTGAAATGTTCAGTACCTGCATTTCTGAGTACAAGAGAAAAACAATGTAATGATTTCAGTTATCCCAAAGGAACTGTAATTCCCAAATTCATTTGTAATGTAACAATAGAAGAATTGCCACATTGTGCCAATAGAATCATGGTGGAGCCAGCCCCAGAACTGTGCCTCTAAGGGGAACAATAAAGAACAAACAGAAATACTTGACTGAAGCCCTTGAGGTACATCTATAAAAGTTACAGACATGCTACCCTCTCCAGTTTCACAGTCTTATCTATGCAGCTGATCTCTTCAAACTTGGGGAATGGCTTCCTCACATTGCCCATTCAGGAGTAGTAACGGCTCTGAATTATTATTATTACTGGGGTATTGCATTAGTCCTTGTAGGTTTCCTTGAACCCTTCCCAAATCTTGGAAAATATTCCTAAATTAATATCTCTCAAATTATTATTTAGCATGTGTCATTTAAATGCTACCAGAACTCTGGCTGATATGCATGTTATTCCTAGAACCCTAGGTAAATATGCTAAGAATGAAATGCTTTTCTTTCACACACCTTCCTCCTCTACCTTGACAGCAGAGCTGCCCATGCAGCCAATGTTCTCATTGTCTCCTGGCTCAAACCTTTCTCTTAATTATCATGGCTCTATCTCCAAAAATGCAACAATCTTGCTCCCGTGAGTGAGAACATTTAAAGAATTCTCATCTTATCCTTGCATGGGAACATTGATCTTATCCCTGGAAGAGAACATTTAAATTTCAGATGGCAACCTTTTGATTATTTTCAACTTGCCACATAGATGGAGAGGACTTTATTTGTCTCAATTCCCTCAAATGCATTTGGCTTTTCTTAATAACTGGATTATGAATTTGGGAAAGGAAGAGGGCCATGCTCACCTCCTTTAAAATGTCTTTTGGTTAATGGTGATGCACTCTGTGCTTTCTCAGTGGTGTAGTAGCAGAGCCATTCTAAGTTTGAGTACATTGTTCTGGAAGGATCTCAAGTGGATCTCCTGGAGTATTTTAAAGCAGAAGAGAATTCCCTCCCCCCGCAATTTAAGAATAATTAGGTATTAATCTTTTTTTTTTTTTTTTTAATTGTGATTTGGGTGAAAGTTTACAGAGCAAATTCACTTTCCATACAGCAGTTCACACACCCTTTGTCTCATGACATTGACTACAATTTATCCCAATCCAACAGCTCCCCTCCTACTTCCTTCTGATAATTACCTCTTCCCTGTGTCCATCCCTCCATGTACTCCTGCCCCCTGAGCTGTGTCCCTATGCATAAGTAGCCCTTCTTTCTCCCATGATTGTTCTCTCCAAGGAGTGTATCTACCTCAGGTAAGTGTTCAACTCATATACCTATCTATTGTTTGGCTGGAAGCCACAGGTACAGGTTCAAATCCAGACGTCAAGGGCAGCTAGGGGCCATAGTTTCAGTGGTTCCACTAGGCTCTATCAGACCAGCAGATCTGGTCCCCTCCTTTTTTTTTTCCAAATGATTTTGAGTTTTGTTCCACAATGTTCTCCCTCTCTATCTAAGATCTCCTACATAGACAGTGGTATCCAGGCACCATCTAGTTCTTTTAGTCTCATAGTCATATAGGCTGTGGGTTGCATGGTGTACTACCCGCTTGGACTAATTGTTTCCATGAGTCTTTGGTTTTCCTCATTCTTCTTTGTTCTGGATGAGGAGAGACTCTGTGTTGCATCTAGATGGCTGCTTGCAAGATTTTAAGATCCTAGTCTTTATGTGCCAAAGTAGGAGGTGGAACAATTCTTTGTGTAGTATGTTATGCCAATTGAGCTTGATGTCCCCTGCAACTATGGTCCCAAGCCTATGGTATTAGTCTTCCTTCAAGTGTCATTGTTCAAGTTTTGCACCCTCTATTCAGGACAGCATGTTGGATATTGAGGGCTATTTTCGTTGAGTCAATTTTGACTGATAGGGACCCCATGTGACATGGTAGAACTACCAGGGTTTTCTAGGCTATAATCATTACAGAAGCAGATCATCAGGTTTTTCTCCAACCAGTTCAAACTGCCAAATTTTTGGTTAGTAATCAAGTTTAACTGTTGTGCCACCAGGAGGAAACAGAATCAAATGAAGAAAACATGATCCCTGTCCTTAGAGCCTTAACAGATCATTCGGGGAGCCCATCATTCAAACACCAGGTTGTGAGCTGGTTGAATTTTCCCATGTGTACAAAAATGGACAGTGAACTTTTATTTTCTTTGTCCTGAACTCTTCCAATATTTTCTGATGAGAGATGGAAAAATCTAGCACAGTTTCAGGCTCTTGGAGTAAATATTTCACATGAGATTAGTATGATGAAGGTCCAACACCAGATATAGAATTCAGCTTTTAGCTTCACTCCACCCTTCTCCCCAGGGGGTACTCAAAATAGCAGGGTTAAGTGGGATACAATCTATGTGAACTTTCACTTGGTAGAGACACACCAAGTAACCAAAAGAACTGGAGGAAGTGAATGTTGCTTCCTGTTGTCCACTTCCATGTAGACAATTTCTAAATGTAATTATTTCCTTTGCTATTTCCTGAGAACAAACTTTATATTCTTTGTAATTCAATTTAATTATCGTGCTACTTGCAAACCAAAAACCAAAAACCAAACTCACTGTCATTGAGTCAGATCTGACTCATAGCGATTCCTCCTTGGGTTTCTGAGGTGGTATCACTACGGAAGTAGATTGCCCAACCTTCCTTCCAAGGAGTAGCTGGTGGGTTTGAACCATCAGCCTTCTGGTTAGCAGTCAAATGCCTTAAGCACTATGCCGCCACTGAATAATTCCTTCTGTGTGGTTTTCTGTTCTGCCTTCTATGTTTTTCTTTTTTCCAGAGCAATTAGCAACTTTTCCTGAGTGTGACTCAAGGAAAGCTAGATCCAGAGATTTAAAATATTTACAATTTCAAGTTTACTACTATCTTGTCACAATGACACAGCAAAGCAAAATATATCGTGAAGCATTAATATATATAATACACTTAAACTGTAATGTATTTCTCCTTCTTCGCTCTGATGGCAGAGTCACCTCTATGTTTGAAATAATCATTTGAAAAGGAAAATAAATTATTTTCTCCCTAATGACATGATATAATTGCATATTAACTTACAAAAGATATTCATTTACAAAAAGTATGAATGGATACCTTGCCTTAACAATCCTTTTTTTTCATGGAAAGAGAAATTTACAAATTGTAGACTAGGTGGAATTTGCTTAGGTGTTAATAATTCATCAAAGGGTCCATTTAAACAGCAAACTTTTGGGTTTTAAATCAATGTCTGGATATAAAAATATGGATGCTTCTTCCTATCAAAACCAAGTTAATTCTGAAATAAGGATAGAAACAAGCAGGAAACATAGATTCCAAGAAAGAACAAAAAAAAAAACTATGGTGAGAAAACCCGAGTAAAATTAAATCTCTCATGACCTTTAGGGTGTGTGGCAAGCGTGTATATGTGTCTGTGTTTGTTGAGTATAAAGTGGAGGAGTGGCAGTGGTGACTTGAGGCTATAGTGAGAGCAAAGCCTTTTAATTCCTGTTTTTGCCTTGTAAAAGCAATCATTGCTTCCCCTTTATTGTGAAATCCTGTAGCACTAGAACAGACCAACTGTCCTGTTGCCAGCTGTTGGCAACATAGCATAAGGGGAACATAAAAATCTGTTGTGCGGAGAAGAGATGAAAATAAAAATATGTGTGCTAGTCTACAGGGCTGTTAGAGTCATACCTCTATTCCTTCTCATTGCCCAAGGTTGTATGGTTATAAATTAGGACGACTGCTTCCTCTTAATGTGATTCTCTCTTAAATGTATAACCAGAGTAGTGGCAGCAAATAGCAAACAGAAATGATTCTGGGAATGGTTCATAAAACAGGTAAGGGTAATAGTAGATAATACATAGGCCCATTTCATAAATGAAATGCAAAAATCCTAACAAAATATTAACTCACTGATGTCAAAAATACACATACAACACTATGCTCAAATAAAGTATACATTAGACTACAAGCATGATCAAAAATTAGAAAATTCATTGGTGAAATTCAGCACATTAATAATCTAAAGAAAATCATGTAGCAATAATATGCTATTAAATTAACTTTCTACCTTCAATATGAAAAAGTAAAAAGAGGAGAATAGAGATCATTATTAATTGGACATCAGTTGTAAATTAAATATATATAGTAAATATGATAGTTATTGGAGACATTTGAGGTGCATTCTCTTTAATACTGGGAACAAGAAAAGAATGAGAATTATCATTGCTGTCATATAACTTATCACTGTAACAGTGGTAAGTCTGGTAAAGAAAAGGGTAAAATTGTTATTATTTTCAAATGACATGATCATCTATGCAAATACTACACTATAATCAGCAAGGTATTGAGATTCACCATCAACCTACAAAAATGCACTGCTATATACAAAAACTAAAAAATGAAATTAAAAAAGCTATCCTGGAGTTCCAGTAAGATGGTGGAATGGGCAGAAAGACTGCACAGATCCTCTTCAACAAAGAAAATGGGAACCAATTAGCACAGATATAGAAGATAATCCTGGACCACTGACCTTTGAAGAGAAGGATGTAGAAGTGGACTAAACTCCAAATAGCAGAAAAATTTGCATGGAAACACCAAAAAAGGAGACATACGGGTCTGTGGTCTGGCAGCAATCATGATGGCACAGCTTGGATATTGCTGAGTGGTAGTAGGAACTAAGAATTAACCTAAAAATCAGCCGTGTTAGCCAGGGACTGACAGAGGACTGCTCTGGTGGGTGGCCAATAAAAGAGGAAGCAATGAAGAGGAAGGCGGGTTGAGCTGTGGCCTTTTCACTGTCCCGAGGGTGCAGCCATTTTGAAAGTTTGCAAGTGGTTTGACCATTTTGGATATTTAAAGTGACAGCATTCTCCCAGATTGCAGGGAGTTAAGAACAGGATCTTCTTGCC